TATATGATATATGTTTTGTTGATGCACAAAACCGGAGGTCTTGGAACAACTTAAATCCGACCGTGAATCTGCATGAAATGTAAATGACACAAGATGTATCGTGGTTCACCCCAAGGTTTGGGCTACGTCCACACTGATTGTATTGTATTTCTCTAAGAAGTGAGGGAGAGAGAGAGCTCTGAGAGTGAGAGCATTAAGAGGGTGATGAGCCTTAGGAATTGGCCTCCTCTAATTGTAAGGGTGAGGGATCATTTTATAGAATAAGGATTCCTCACTTATTACATATTTTCCTCTTCCTTTATCACATAATTACATTTAAATCCCCCGAGTATTTGTACAAGATCTAAATATGAGGCCCTAAATATGGTATAAACAGTAGTCCCCCAAGTCTTCAATCAAGAGAGTCTTTTGGCTGGAGACTTGAAATTCAGTCCATGTGTGGGCCGAAGTAACTAGATGTTGTCTTGAACTGATGTTCGATATGAGGCGGTGCTCAATCTGAAATGATGCTCAACTAGAAGTAGCACATGCTGTGAAGCTGCTCGACTCGTGGCTTATGTTGCCTTGGTTGGCTCGACTTGTGGCGTTTGACGGTAAGAGAGTCTCTTTTATAGAATAAGGGCTCGCTCCTTAATACATGAATTATGGGCTAGGAGTTGATGCTTGCGGCGAGGCGGTTGCTCAGCTGGCGGCGATGCTCTCTAATGATGGTGGGGGAGTCTCTTTTATAGAATAAGGGTTCACTCCTCAGTACATGAATAATGTGTGCTCTCTAATGAAAGTGAGGGAGTCCCTTTTATAGAATAAGGGCTTGCTCTCAATACATAAATGATGGGCTAAGTCCCCCAAGTTTTTTTCATGAGGCCCAATTGAGGCCCAATATATGGTACATAGTGTAGTCCCCCAAGTCTTCGGTCAATAGAGTCTGTTGGCTGGAGACTTTAAATTGAATCCATGTATGGGCCGAAGTGACTTGTTGTTCGGATGCGGTATTTGTATACCCTGCACTAAAGCCTTATAGGTGAAGCTTTGCAAGTGAAGCTTTGAAGCTAGAGCTCTGTAAATGAAGCTTTTGAAGCTAGAGCTTTGTAAATGAAGCTTTTGAAGCTAGAGCTCTGTAAATGAAGCTTTTGAAGCTAGAGCTCTGTAAATGAAGCTTTTAAAGCTAGAGCTTTTGTAAATGAAGCTTTTGAAGCTAGAGCTTTTGTAAATGAAGCTTTTGAAGCTAGAGCTCTGTAAATGAAGCTTTTGAAGCTGATTGACATGAGTGATGCTCATGAATGTTAACATGAGTGATGTTCATGAATGTTGACATGAATGATGGTCATGAATGTTTATGTGTGATTGTCATAAGTGATGCTTATGAATGTTTATGTATGAATGACATGAGTAATGCTCATGTATAATTTGGAGTACTAGGCGTACTTTTGATCACTTGGTTGGTGGCATGAAGAAGAGTACGAGTTGTACATTTCATCACCTGGATGGTGGCATGAATGGCTAGTTGCCAAATGATATTAGAGTACGGGTTGTACATTTCATCACCTGGTTGGTGGTAATAACGGCAGGTTGCCGAATGATTTTGGAGTACTGGGCGTACTTTTGGTCACCTGGTTGGTGATGATAGAGGCAGGTTGCTGAATAATTTTGGATTACTGGGCGTACTTTTGATCGCCTGGTTGGAGCTATTTTGGGCTTATGGGCCTTCGCCCTTTACACAACATTCCAGCCCATTTATTTTGGGCTTTACCCTTTTTTTTTTTTACCCTCTGATGAGGTTTATACAGATGTCTTCGAGAGATAAGAAAAATAAATTACATCATACAAAAACAAGAAAAGTAAATCACATCATTCTGGTGGGGTGTTTTATTCCTTGCTTTTGCAGTTTCTCCATGTGCTCTCGCATATGACCTTTTACTTTCTGCTTTTTCTCGGTTTTTTTTGCTTTACTTTCGCTTTTGTTTCCCACTATGCCTCTCTTTTTTGCTTTTGTGCCGCAACTCACTTGATTCTTTTTCTTTCTGCTTTTCTCTCTGCTTTCTTTTCTTTTCTTTTTTCTTTTCTGCTTTACACGACGAGCAGCTCCCACACTTGGATCTACAACTTGGTGGCAATGAACCCAGACGAATCTTTTGGTGGATCTCCAACGTCCACTTCGACTTCGTCTTCTTCAAAACCGAAAAGTAAAAACCTGCAAGACCGTGTGAAGGCCACAAAACCATTGAGCACAGAAGCGGTGGGCTCAACGTCACCTTCGTGGTTCACAATCTGCTCCTCCAAGAACTCGATTTATTGCCTGCAACTCTTGGCATCTCGAATCCCCAATGTTTCAACCAAAAACAAACACAAATCGGCCAAGTCAGGAACCCGTCCATAACGAAAAGAACTAAACCCTCAGCAGCTCGTCTCATTCGTCTATGAACGTCCTCGCCCTCCTGGCCTGGAGCTGCAGAGCTTTTCTGAGAAAGTTCAAAGCTTTGTTTACCTAGTGGCAGTGCTGGACACGGCCACGACCACCACAAGCCTAGCCAAGGCCGTGACGCCGAAGGCAATGTACGATGGTACCGCCGATCATAACCTGCCTCCGCCGGAGATGAAGGCGTTCCCGGAACAGGAGGGGATCGTGTAAGTAGGGTTGTAAATGATAGAAATGCCTTTGTGATCTACTGCATCTGTTGCTTCTGGTAGGAGAGGACCTTGTTTATGGCACAAGGCCTTAGCATAGTCTGAGGATGAATGCCCCGTTAAGTAAATGAGCTGGGCTTTTGTAGAAAATATCGACGGTCCAGATTAACTCCGCGGTGAGAGACGAAGGGCTGAGAGCTAATTGGGAGGGGGAGTGGTTGAGGAGTGGGAAAGAGTTGGAGAAGAAAGAGCGGTGACCGTCTGGGAAAATGGAAATGAGGTCATTAACACATGGATCGGTGGTTGAAGGCCACATGGCAGTGCTGATCCGCAGGCCATAGCGGCCAAGGTTTAGCCGTTGAGGCGGGTGAGGATGTGGGTCGTGATGATGTCGTGATGGACGGCAGAGATTGAAGCTCCATTGCCTTTGTTGGCGGCCGGTGTGGTTGAAAGAGCAGAAAAGCTCATTGTGAAATAAACAACGATGAGTTGAGGTTTTCTTGAGTTGTGATGAGTGGTGTTTGGAGATTTGAAACGGGTTTTGCAGATTTTGCAAATTCACGGTGGAGGTGAAAAAATGAAAGAGAACCAACATAGTTTTTTGTGTCGATTCCCACAGATGGCGCCAAATGTTGATGCACAAAACCAGAGGTCTTGGAACAACGTAAATCCGACCGTGAATCTGCATGAAATGTAAATGACACAAGATGTATCGTGGTTCACCCCAAGGTTTGGGCTACGTCTACACTGATTGTATTGTATTTCTCTGAGAAGTGAGGGAGAGAGAGAGCTCTGAGAGTGAGAGCATTGAGAGGGTGAGGAGCTTTAGGAATTGGCCTCCTCTAATTGTGAAGGTGAAGGGTCCTTTTATAGAATAAGGACTCCTCACTTATTACATATTTACCCTTTCTTTTATCACATAATTACATTTAAGTCCCCCGAGTATTTGTACGAGACCTAAATACGAGGCCCTAAATATGGTATAAACATGTTTTATGAAGGTTTTATGGCATGCTAGGGTTTTCGGAAAACCTATTACATATTATGATATTGAGTTTTCATAAAACTTTGGGGGTCAGTATGTTGATAACTGTTTCAGTATTATATTTATATCCACTTGGTCCACTCATATTTGTTTAGCGTCCCCTCAGGACTTAGAATCGAGGTGTACAATCTCGGTGTCAAGGCAATCCCGCATCAGCATCTTCAAGTCCTCTCGTGTAGGACCCATCTCTTGTTCATTCAATTTTATATTATTTATTTTTAGTGTTCTAGTTAATTGTATGCTATGAATAAGTTCCTAAGTTGCATATTCTTTATATTTACAATGTACAAGTCTTATTACATCGGTTAATTCTTTTAGTTCTCATGCATCCTAACATGGCTTCATCTTCTTCGTGTGTCGGCCAGCACGTGCCTACCCTGGTGTTTGGTGAATATCAGGGTCAGGTGTGTCAAATCATCTCTTTTACTTTAATAATAATAAACTTGTTGATTTAATCATTGACTTATTAACCAATTGAAAATTAAGTCTTTATATTATTTTTTGAAAAAATGAGTCCCCAAAATCATTAGAAACTGCCAATTTTACCATTGCCATTAAAGCATCTCTAATGGAGATGTTAAATTTAGATTGTCAAATTTCAATTAAGAGCTGACATGGCACTTTGAATGCAGATGCTAAATTTTCATTTTTCCAAATGATGAGTCAAAATTTATTTATTTTTATTATTCATATTGTTATAAAAATTGTAAAAAAATTGTGCAAATTGGTCTGGGTACATCATGTGATTGGTGGATGTGAGAGCCATTTATTAAATAATTCAATTGGAAAGGATTTGACGTTGCTGTCAAAAGAAACGGACCAGGATCCTCTCCTGAGCTAAGGATGAGGATCCTCCTCATCAATGAGTGTGGGCCGTTGGATGAAAATCCAACGGCTACAAACAGGGGTCCCTTTAAAATTATAATAATTGTAGCCGTTGGATTTTCATCCAATGGCCCACATCCCTTGATGAGGAGGACACATCAGATAAAATGCATTCGTTGGAAAAAAATTTGTTGTTTTTTTAAACTATTCTACACTTTTGGCACCTCCTTTGGAGATAGTCTTAGATTTCAAAATTTTCCAGTCAATTCTCCGTTAACTTAAGTCATGTGATTTGTACATGACTCACAATGCTATGGCCTTCTTTTAGCAGTTAAAATTATCAAAATAATATCTCTCGACATATTGATATGTGTTGCATGATGGTGACACTGAACCAACTCATTATCTTAACATGACATGAAGACCAACTTTTTCTTCAAGTCATTTCGTGTCTTATTATCTTAACATGGCCTTCAATGGTTGTTGAATTTGAATGTGTCAAGTATTTCAGAAGAAATTGCACTTTTGCTTTGCTTGATTAAAATTTGGGCACAATACACGGCGGTCTACATCACGGGGTATGGAATCCATAACAAACCTAACCAACTCCCACCTATTTCGGCGAGCTGTACCAACTGCCGAATATTAAACAATTTTCAAAGGAAACGACACCAAACACCGGGAGATCTTCAACAAAAACGAAATTTCGTCTCTGTAAAAGAATATCATGCACAGGAAAAAAAAAATAAAAATCAACAACCATGAATCTTCGGTTTGTTTGCCATCGCCAGCCGAGTTTTTCAGGCTTGTTAGTGCTTCGACCGTACCAAAATCAGCAATGATCCGCTCAGCGGGCGGAGAAGCACCAACATGAAATTCAAGAACTGCCATAAAACAAGGATGTATATATATATTAGATCATTTTCTCTACAAGGTTAAAATGGTTATTATGTTGTAAACTACGGCTTTAGAAGCGGTCTTCAAGTGCCCTAAGAAGTTCTAGTACATGCCCTCTGCCAAAATGAAGGGTTGAACATTTTGATATTTTTCGTTTATGGATAATTGCTGACAGATACAACATACGAGATAGAGGAAAGCGCGACAATCTATTCAAGAGAATAGTTTTGTACCTTTCTCCAGCTATAGGCATCAAAATTGCGCGGCTAGTGAGTTCTATCGTTCAATGGGGAGAACAACATCAAGGTTCTTCGGAAGTTGCCAGCCTTTGGGATAAACAAGAGTATGAGCTTCCAAATGTAGATGCCAGTTCATTACTTTTGCACAGCCGGCTGGGGTACCTTCCATTTGACTCTCATCTTCCACAACTTGTTCTATAAAAGTGGTCTCCTGAAGATGCAAGGGGAGAGAAATGTCAGTGCTCGAAGAATACAATGTGTCATTGCAAATGATAAGTACGAGAAACTTTCAGATGATATGACCCATACTTGGAAACCCTCTTTCACTGTATCTAATTGTCGAATTGAAGCAGAAGTGGGGCGGTGCCATCGCTTTGGATCCCACAATATTGTGCTATTAAAAGCAAACCCTGACATATCAACATGAAACCTACGAAGCCTCTTGCTTTTCTCATTTGTGTGCCATCCAACTACTTGGCTCCCATTGCATACTGGACCTTCCAATATAGCCTTGTTTTTGCTTTGCCATAACATAGCAACAGGCCAAGTTCCAAACCGGCTTCAAAACATATCGAAACATAAATCAGCTACAGAGAAGAAAGGGCCGGCAGGGTAGCCTAGAATCCATAACGAAGAAAGTAGACGTTTATGAAACTCTACAAACAGATCAAGTCAATAACAGCACAATAGCACATAGAGATGCCAACTCGTACACTTGGAGAATAACAAAACGGCGGTCATAAAAACCTATAATTGACAGTTTCAAAAATATACAAAAAGTAATCCGGTAATTGTGGTATGAACGAAACTTTACGTTCCACCAGACAATGACAAACAAACAGAAAAATGTACATGAGATTGGTAAGCTGTATATGTTCCACTACCTAAAGTTAGTAATACTGGCAAATTGTACATCTTTGTTTGAAGACGAGAAGAACCAAGTTTAAACTGCGAAACAATTATTCCGAAGCCATTTGATTATGTAAATGTATCAAAAAATGCGAATTCAAACCAAATGCAGTTTAGTGAAGTGAAAGAGTGGCCAAGCTATGCATTTCTATGTATTGAAACTATTTGGGCATAATCGAATGCGAGGATCAACAAGGAAGACATGACATCTAAAATGTAAGCACACCCATGTAGCTCCAATTGTTAAAATTGCAATAACAGACAAATTTAGAACAGAAAACCCAAGAAAACCATCATTCGAAAACAAGCATATGAACCAAAAACAAACACCACCAACAGTAAATTGTGACTGAAAATGATCGAAATGAAGCTCAATTTCGAAGATAGGTAGATACCTAATGTCTCTCAAGCGATCAAACAAGTCGAGGGAGTATATATTATCGTCGTCGGCGAAGTAAACAATGCCATCAAGCCTATGCCGCTCAATGTGCTCCAACGCAGTGTTCCTCTGATAAACACCTCGGTCCTTGGCGCTAGTCGAATTGTTGCCACACACCAAATGCCGATACATCACTCCGCTCTTCCTCAAAATCTCCGCCGTCTCCATCGATGCGGTGTCGGATTCCACCACAATCCATAGCAGTGGCTGAGGTACAAGCCCGAGCAGCTGCCCCAACCTGTTTAAGAAATAGGCCTGCAGTGCGCGGTTGTACGTAGGTGTCACAATAATCAGCTGCTTCCTCGGCACCAAATCCAGACTCCTCTCCACGACACCGAAGCTCACGTCGACGACGAGATCTTCCCGCCGTTTCACGGCGGGATCCGCGTTGCCGGTGTCAAACTGGACATTGACGTGGGGCGGCTCGATGTCGAAATTGCTGCGACCTGGAATCTCGTCGTCGTCAACGTGGCCGAACGGTAATAGGCCGAGTAAAAACCCTAAGAAGAAGAAGAGCAAGCACCTGTAGAAACCTCGACGCCATTGCTGGCCCTTGCGATTAGGCAGGTGAAAGAGAACTCCGGCAACGAAGCGCCGGACGTTGACGGCGAAGGCGAGGATCACCGACGGAAAAGGCGGAGAGTATCTGGAGCTGGAGAGAAGCTTCTGCGACGGCGACGGCACTGAAAATGGAGAGCCGGCGCCGTTCACGTACGGCCGGTCTCGGAACGCCGGCGATAGAGTTCTCCGGATCGACGCCATTGATCGATCTCCGATAAGAATTCCTCAAGATCTCCACTACATGATCGAAATCACAATCCCTTCCCCAAATCCACAGAATCCGATTCGAAATTCCAAAATTTTTACAAAAAAGTTGAAAAACTGAGGAAAGTGAATTCGGGTCAGACTTTGACCGGAAATGGTAATCGGGTAATATGCGGTGGACTGAGGGAGTGTACGGACGGTGGAGGATCGGAATGTCAAAGGTGTAAATACGGAGGGGTGAGGATCGGAATGTCAAAGGTGTAAACGTAAGGATTTTGAACTAATTTGGACCTGGGAAGTACTTTTTTCGCAGAAATGGCAAGTGGGCTGTGGTTAAGCACTTTTGAGCAGTATGCGTCGGTCCGCCATTGAGGATTCAACACGTGTCCAGCTGGGGTCAAATGTTTCTGCAAATGCGTATTTTGCCTTATTTACTGAATTGTTGTCGGAATAATCAATTAATCATGTGGTAATTATTATGTAAATTTTTTTTAGTTTTTTATTCTTTTTTTCCAAAAAAATGTATTTTGGTTTGATATTGTTTACTATTTATCCACAGTAATTGGTGGTAAATTTTAGTAGATTAGATGTTATATTAGTTACTTATAGAAATCGAACCCACGTCGTCATATAATAACTCAATTCCTTTTTATAACTGTGGTAAAAAGTCACTTGCGTATACTCGTATTTCAAACTAATCACCTTTTTTTTTTAAGAAATTAAAATGCATTACATTGAATAATAGTTCGGAATACAGTTATAGTAACATCTTCATTGTAGTTGATGCAGTGCACAATAATAAATATAGTTCCTATATTAAATTTAAGGATTAATCTCAGTTTATTATCCTGAAGTTTCTTGATTTTCAACATTTGGTACAAAGTTTTTTTAATCCCATAGTGATATCTGAAGTCATAATTTTGGGACACTTTCATACATTCGTTAAGGTTGCTTGTAACTTAGCCGTTAACTGGTGATGTGGCATACCTGAAGTCATAATTTTATTATTTTTTAAAATTTAAAATTTTAATATCCATGTGGCGCCCAATCATTGTCCACATGGACGCCACGTCACTTGTTAACAATTGATTTACTCAGCAACCTTAACGGATGTGTGAAAGTGTTCCAAAATTATGACTTTAGGTATTAGTCTGAGATGAAAAAATCTTGATGTACCAAAAAATTCAGTGTAGTAAACTGAGATTAACCTAAAATTTAATTGTTTGAGGCTTCTCATATCTCAAAATTATGTATTATTAGGTGGCTAGTAACTATCATTTTTTTTTAACAAACGATACTATCTACATTGAGGGGGTGGGGAGTGGGCTAAGCCTCATAATGGATTAGTAATAATGTGATTCAAATTCTCCTTTTGACAAGAATCAAACCTAAGACCTTCTCACTTACAAGTGCATATGAATAACACTAGACCATAGTACTAAGTGGCAAGAACTATAATTCTAGTTTAAGTATTTTATCCCACTAATGTATTGTAATATTTCTATTTTCTATTTAAACAGTTATCAACTTACTAACCCCCAAAGTTTTAATGAAAACTCATAGCATAATATGTAATAGGTTTTTTGAAACCCTAGCATGCCATAAAAACTTTCTTAAAACATATGTTGTAAATAGTGTGCTAACTAATGGTATCAGTATCGTCCGACGGCCTATAGAATTCTTCCTTTAGAGCACTTCATTTGCCAAACAAGCACCAACCTACACCTGGCCGAAGCCAATATAAGTATCATCGCCCGTAGGCAGAACAGTGACCACTAGATACGCACAAAAACATCGAATATAGTCTTTCCCAAAACATAGGTACATATATCTCAATAACATCTTCATAGTATAAAGTCATACATCATCTATACTATAAAGAAGTGCATAAAAGCATGTTCGTAAATAGTATGTAGTCATCCATCATATATACTACATAGAACATCAATTTGATAAAATATGGTATTCCAAAATATTCATGGTATAACATGATAATCCATAAGTGTAAATCCAAATTGCTTATTAAACATTTTCACAAAACGTAATCATTAAATCATGTTTTTCATGTATGCATTTCTACTATTAAAACATGAATTTCAGAAGGGGTTTAGAGGGCTAAAGGCCCGATGCTGGACACGGCCCGAAGGGCCTGGTCTCCTTGGTTTGGGCTTGAAAGCCCATGTCTCGCCAAGGAAGAAGGCCGGATTTCAGCGGGAAAATTCCCGAGCTCCAACGGAGTTTAAAACTCAACTAAAAGCACACAATAAAACACCAAAATGTAGCCCATGAAGTAAGGAAACAAACCATACCTTTGGTTCTCATAAACGTGATCGAAGTTAGCCGGAAAAGGGCTCGAAGCCACTGGACATTCACCAGAAAATATGGAGAATGCTTCCCGAGCAGTTTTCATGGTCGGAGATTTAAGAAACTCGCCAGAGGTCACAAGTACAGTGATCAGGCTACTGTGCCGAGAAGGAGAAAGGAAGATATGGTTGTCTAGCCTTAGGTGGTCATCGTAGTCAAAAGGTGGTGATGAGAGTATGTTGTTGTTAATGTTGTAGGTGTGTAAGTATGTGTGTGGGCATTGGTCGCTGGGGAGGATGGAGCACATAGAGTCGAGAGGGAGAGAGAGAGAGAGAGAGAGAGAGAGAGAGAAACAGGAGAGGTGAAAGAGATAAGGATATTGAGTAAAGGAAACAAAATTCAGGTGTGAGCCGTTTGGCACACCCATTAAGACCCAAAAACAATTTTAAAAGAAAAAGATCTAGCCCAAGGTGCAATTTCACAAAAATACCCATTTCGTTCCAATAAAATCGAGACGGGTTGTTACGACAAAAAAACTTCAGCATATTAAACTGAGATTAACCTAAAATTTAATTGTTTGTGGCTTCTCATATCTCAAAATTATGTATTATTAGGTGGCTAGTAACTATAATTTTTTTTTTTAACAAACGATATTATCTACTTTGAGGGGGGTGGGGAGTGGGCTAAGCCTCATAATGGATTAGCAATAATGTGGTTCAAATTCGCCTTTGACAAGAATCAAACCTAAGACCCTCTCACTTACAAGTGCATATGAATACCACTAGACCATAGTATTAAGTGGCAGGAACTATAATTCTAGTTTAAGTATTTTATCCTACTAATGTATTGTGATATTTCTACTTTATATTTAAAGGACTCCATATGTATGTTTAAGGTAGACTTAATGAATTAGAAAATATATTTGTTGTGTGCTATTAAAGTGAGTGAGTATTTCCTCCTTCTAAAATCTAGTGTTTGATTTGGTCGTGTGAGTGAATCCACTATTAGCAACGTTGAGCAAATTTGTTGCCCATGGTTGAGTGATTCCTAGGTTTTATTCCCGTCTCTTTAAGACCCTTTGGTTCTCCCTGCATCAAGTGGTATCAGAGCTTTATTCGATCATAGTTGGGAGGCGTGGGCGTTGTGGAGGCCGAGAAGCTCGACGAGACTCAACACAGTGTGAGAGATCTACATGATATTGAAATAGACGACCTAAGAAGACAAGTGTAACAACTCCAGCAGCGTCTTAAGCACTACAAACCTTTGGAACATGATAAACCCAATCATGAAACAAAGAATGATGAATTCGATGATGGGGAGGTGAATCCTTTTGGTGGAGATAATGAAATTCAAGATCTGTCACGATAAGTCAAACTCCTAACCATGCAAATTGAGCAACAAAAAAATGCTGGCAACAAATTTAGAGAGTTAAGCCCAGGTTACTCAAGTGATGAGGCTGACTTCTTCAGTTCAAGTTGTGTTGAATCTACCACCAATATTTGATAATTGCCTCGAAGATGATTGTGAGATTTGTTCTAGTCAGCAAATTGAACAATTTGGAGTCGATGAATTTTGTGGAGTTGAAATAGTTAGACAAGAAAAAAGCTTCAAGAAAAGGCTTGTAATCTTATTAACTTCTCATACACATATACTTCCATAATTTTTCAGCTATTTAAATTTTTTAAAAACCTAAAACAAGGTGAATGTCAGTCTAGTTTCAGATTATCATTTTCTGAACTGGCCGGACTGCTTTCTGGGTACGCAGTTCTTGAGCATGGTTTTCACGCTATGCAACTTAGACAACATGAGCTTAGAAGCAAGAAAAGCAGTTCTAGGAATTAATTAATTAAAATGCAAGACAGACGAAGACTATTGAAAACATTACAACAAAATTGAGCTACTAATTGGGTTTTCTTATTTTATTTTTTTGTCAAACAATAGATTTGTTAAATTAGATGCTAGATTAGGGAACTAACAGGGTTCGTACTCACACCGTGGTGCAAAGGACACACTCCTCTCTCAAACACACTTGTAGGGCTGTGTACATTTTGCTAGTCTACTTTATTTATTTATTTATTTTTATTTTTTTTATTTTAAATTGATCCAACTCACATAAGCCATTTGTAAGTAAAAGGTCTTAAATTCTGCAATCTAGTGAGAGGTGTTGGAATCCTATAGGACTCTAAACTTATCACATCAGGGTTTAAGTTTAGTGGAAGCTGAAATCAGTTAGAGTCCTTTATAGTAGGACAATAAGGATAAACATGGTAGAGAGTGGATATCCCACATTGGAAATCAAATGGACGTGGGTTTTAAATCAAATTGTTTCCGTGATAGGAGGAAATGGTTGAGATTACATGTCTATAAAGGTTTAGTCCCTCCTCAAGGGCAATGCGCTTTCTTATTCAGTAAACTAGCCCTATTCTAGTGAGAACATAAGGTCCCCATTGAGTAGAAGACATACCTTTACGAACTCTGTTGCAATGGCTTCTTCAGTTTTGATTTACACTTTGCTTCTAGTTAATATTGTAATCTATGTGAAGCTAAACTAATAAAATTCCAACATTTGGTATCAAAGCATGTCTTAGCTCTTCATAGATTCATTTTGTACTATTTGTTTATAGCGATGACTAATGTCGTGTTTTCATAAGTTGATACAAATTGATATGTAATCTAACTTCATTATCATTTAATGGAAACCATGCTGATAAACCATTCAAACAAATGTTTGTAAAGTCTACACCAAAGTGAGATTTTAATGAAATTTTGTTTATTAAGGAGGTTGCATGGATTCGTAATACACGACATGATAACATTATACTCCAAGGGGTACTAAGTTAATTGGTTGGTTTTATTAATCAATATATAGGTTTTTAGTAAGTTAATTGGTTGGTTTTATTAATCAATATATAGGTTTTTAGTTAGTCTTTGAGCCAACTATTTTCTCATCCAAAGATTAGAATTTTAGTTGTAACTTGAACCCTAATTAAGAAGGCTATACAATAAGGATGCATGA